TGTAGCTGAGTGTTATCATGTACACCTGTCATCCCAACATTCGGGAGGTGGAGACAGGAAGGTTATGCATTTTAGCTTATCCTGGCCTTTGCACTGAGAGGAAGAAAAGGTGGTGGTGCTACAAGAGGAGGAGGCATGAGATGAGATCTTAACCTTTTCACCCCTGTGTTAATTCCATCTTTGTTAATTTCTATATGCATTTACAGTCAGGAGACTTGGATTCCAGACCTGGCCTCACCACTTAGAAGCATGTGAGGAGGAACTGGTTCTCTCTTTTCCTTCCAAGGTTTCTATTTCCACATCTGGAAGATAGGGATAATAATATCTTCTTGCCTGCTCCCCAGAGGCATGTGGGATTCCAGCAGATAATGGGACTAAGCATAGCGAAGCCCTATCTGTATATAGATATTCTATATATTCCTGTATCCTGGAGTCAGGGGATGGTGGGCACTTTTGGCAGCTCTCATCCCTACCACCCAACTCTGGACTTGATTTTCAACATAATCACTAGTTTTGTGCAGAATCGCTTAACAATCTCAAAACATCCTTATATTCCTGAGATGGCTAATAAAGAGTAACTGGGACTAATCTACTTAGTTCACTCAAATGCTGTGTTGTTTTGTGTTATCGTGAATCATTAAAACAATTCTGCATGGTGTTGCTGTGTGTGTGTGTGTGTGTGTGTGTGTGTGTGTGTGTGTGTGTGTATGTGTGTGTGTGTGTACCAGTCTTGGCACAGACCCTGGCTTTTTACTAAAAAGTAGTGATCTACCATTTGAGCAACAGCTATATTTCTGAGTTTTTTAGTCATTAATTGGAGATGAGAGTCTCATGGACTTTCTTGCTTAGGCTGGCTTCAAACTTTCATCCTCAGATTTCAGCCTCCTGAGTAACAAGGATTACAAGTGTGAGTCAGTGGAGCCCAGCTTGGTGCTGGTTTTTAAATTAATGAATACTGAATGTGTATGTGTGTATGCACTTTATTTTAATATCTCATACATAGAGTCTGTGTTGCTCTTAGTTTTATACTAAGAATACTGGGTGATTGCAAAGAATTTATAAAACACAGCACAAAAATATATGAAGTATGTATTTTGGTGGGGGAATAATGAGTTCTTACTAGCAAGGTGAATGCTGGCATTACCACACTCATTTTACAATTATGGAAACTGAGGGTCTTAGTAGTGATGTAACTTGCTCAAAACCAACTATCCAGTAAATATTGAAGCTAGAATTTGAGCCTAAGTCTCAGTGGATCCAGTGTCCATTTTCATACAAACACCCTCTACAGAACCTCTGGCTGCTCTTGGACCCATAAGACCACATCCCTTCTTCAACTTGGTCAGTAAAAGTCTAGGATCATTCATAAAAGCATTATTAGGCATCCTTACTCAGTCTTCCTTGAAATTGGGCGTTTGTCAGGCAGGTTAAAGTGAGGATGGAGATTTGTGGCTGAGATTCAAGGTGTAACTTAGATCAAGAGAGAAGCTCTGAATGCTGATGCTGTCACATTCTTGGGACAGAGCAATGTGAATTAATCCAGTACACCACTCAGTGCCTCCTCCATGCTGTGCTGGAGCTGGAGTGCTCAGCACACGTAGTTTCTGCACCTTGTAAACGCTTGACAAGCTTGTTGACGGACTGTTTTTCTGCAATATTTAAAAATTGTAACACAAGTACAAAGAGGAATAGTTGATATGTAACTTTTTAAAAAAGGCTAGTTAGGAGGTGGAGGGAAAATCAGAGATGGGGCTGTGCTTATTTACTGACTCATCCTGGTGTCTGTGTGCCTATCGGGGAAAGCTGGGCAGATTCACAGAAGAAAAAGAGGCTAGGGGAAATTGAAGCCATCTTTCGTTCACTCTTCCCTTAGAGGAGAATGTGAAAGGTTTGACGACGTCTTTTCCAGTTTTCCTGGTCTGTAATGATTGAAGCTTAGAAACCTCTGAGCTCTAGCCCCACTTATGCAGCCATTTAGTGCTGTCTCAGCTAAGTATTCAATGATTGTCACAGGACTTTCCTTGGCCCCAATAATCCCCCTCCTCATCTTTCTTCCTGCCAACCTGGGACTAGAGGGTAAAACTTGGTGACTTTCAGTCACTGAAAAAGTGAGAAGATGGCATAGGTGTGTTAAAAAATGAAAATGCATTCTCAGACTTTTGGCTAAGATTGAGTATGAAAATAAAAATGTAATGTTTTTGTAGTCTTGAAGTTTACAAAGCTTTGGCATCTATCATCTCATCTATTTAGATTTGATTCTCAGAACCAGTAATTTATGAAACAGAGACTCTGAGATAACTACTTTACAGATGGGGACGGAAGCTCAGAAAAGGCAGTATGGACTAATCTGAGGATTCTCAAGATTTGGAAATCACAGAGAAGAGGAACAGGATATGATATGGAGAACCTCATTAAGGAAGACTTCCTGAAGGTGAGACAAGAACTGAGTATGAAAAACATAATTTAAAACACTGATTAGGAAGTGGAGCCTGGCTCCAAGTGGTGGAGTGCTAAACTTGAGCAAAAGAGCTCAGGGACAGCACCCGGGCCCAGAATTCAAGCCATACCACATGTCCAACAAAAATAAATAAATAAGCACTGATAAGATAAAGAAGGGGAGAGTCCAGGTAGAAGACTTAGTAAAGGCTTTCAAGCACCAGGAAGACTGGAGCAGTTGACAAGTATAATAGTGATGATGAGAACAATGAAGACCCTGACACTGACAGTGAATAACATCTGTCCGTCTATCCATCCATCCATTGCTTACTACATGCAGATGCTGTCAGACACTTTCCTAAAAGTTTATCAACATTAATTCTCAAGCTTGCCTTGAAAGGTGTTTTTATTAACCCATTTTATAGAAGAGGAAATGAAGACAAAGTGTTTAATAGCTTGCCTATTAGGTCATTATAGGAATGGCATGAAGAGGTGACATTGATCAAGATGCATTGTACCTATAAACTGATCTGTTGAATTGAAACCCCTTTTATATAAGTACTTAAAGAGAATTTTTGAAAGGGGGGAAATGTATGAATGTTGTTCTAAGAGCCAACGGTACACCTCTCTCCAAAAGACACACTTCAAGCTGGAAGCATTCTTGGTACAGAGGAGATAGGAACAGATTTGTGACTTAGAAAGTATTCTCTGAGGCAGAGTGAACTGAGGTTGCTGAGGCGGAAAGAAACTAGAAGCTAGCTAGGCTGTTTGTCCAAGGAAGACCTGAAGAGAGGTGTTGGGAGTAGAAAGCACAGGGGTAAATGTACATCTCTTGTCACTCCCATCTCCAACTTCTTCTACCTGTAATAATAGACAAAATAATATGTTTTATTCTACCTGCCTCAGGAACTGCTTGAAAATTAATGGGGCAGAGGCCCGGCTGGCTTTCATGCGTCAAATACCACCCTTGTGCTCCTGGTGGTGCGCATTAAATGCTGAATGTATAAAATGTGCTTTGATGGAGGACCTGGGAATAATTATAGCTTGCTAATGATTGTTAATTTTACCACAGCTTTGGAACCCTGGACTTTCTCAGCGATTCAGAAAAGAGATTGCTATCCCTCCTCCCCATTAAGAGAGCCACAGAGGCAGACCAGTGATTTCTCACAGGCTCCATCCTTTCATTCCTTTTAGTGGTCCAGTTACGTTCGTGGGATCCAGAAGAAGAAATGTAGTCATTGCCCTTTTAGCTGGGTCTTGGTAGCCCAAGCCTGTAAGACTAGCTAGCTACTCAGAAGGCTGAAATCTGAGAATCATGGTTCAAAGCCAGTCTGGAGCAGGAAAGTGATACTCTTATCTCCAATTAACCAGCAAAAAGCCAGAAAATGGAGATGTGGCTCAAGTGGTAGAGTACCAACCTTGAGCAGAAAAATTTAATTGAGGACACAAAGCACTGAGTTCAAGCCCTAGTGCAAACACACACACACACACACACACACACACACACTCCCCTTCTCCTTTTAGAATTAAGTTATTCAAAGACCTCACATTCCCTTATGGTCTTGGCTAGCTCTTTAAGAATGTGGCCTTTTTCACGTCTCTAAACTATGTACAGACATAACATTTTGTGTGTGAAAGATGTTTAACAGAACTTTTAATAAATACATTGGACACTTGTGATGCGCTGTTACACAGATTCTGAACCACTTCGTTCCCAGATTTTTTTTTTTCCTTGTCTCCTAATAGCCAGGCAGAGGACCAAGACTTCTCCCAGGAATCAGAGGGGGGAGCAATAGCTTTGTGGCTTTAGGTCTCTAAGCCTCATCTCAATGGATCTGAAAGATAGCCAGGGTCTGTTGGGGACGGATCGAAGGAGATGAGGTTTGCGGCTTGATACACTGTATCCAGGTGTGCTGTTTGGAGAACCTGCGTGCCAGAGGACGTGGAAGAGACACAGATTCCCTTGAAAGACCTTGAGGAAAGGACACTTGGAAAAGTAGATAGGCCGAGAGGAAGTCTGGGTGGAGAGGGGCGCCACTATCCTGGGCCCCATGTCTCAGTAAAACTGCTAAGAATCTCAGCCAGGGAGAACCAACAGCCGAGCGGCCTTGCTGCAGGGCGGGTGCTCCCGGGGTGGGGCCCGGCCAGGCCGGGGGGGGGGGCGGGGGGGGGGGGGTCGCCCGCCAGCCGACGTGTTGCGGAGGGGGAGGGGGAGGGGGAGGAGTCGCTCGTTCCCTGGATAGGGTGGGGGCGGGCCCAGGTACCCGCCAGGTGAGTATCGGTTTTTCCTCTGCCCCGCTTTCGGTCGGGAGGAGACGGGGGAGGGTGGAGTCAGTTTTCCGGGGCCCTGATCCTATCGCGGGGCGGCGCGGGGTTGGCGGGGCCCTCTGTGGGACCGCGAGTGGGAGCCACAATGTGTCACCCAGATACCATTGGGTGACTGGCGGCAAACCGGCCGGGCCTGTCGGGCGGAGTATAAGAGCCCCGGAGGGAGCGGGCCCGGGCGACAGACGCCCGCCAGACGGGGCCAGGCTGCGGGGATCGGGAACGCGTGGGACCCGCTTTTCCCTTCCCCTCTCCTCCTCACAGCTTCTCCCCGCTCCGAGCGACCTCGCCCGCCTTCGTCCGGTCCACGCGCCTCCTGCGCCCCACCATGGCCAGGGGCCCGGGCTCCGCGCCGCGGCCGCTGCCGGTGCTGCTGGTGCTGGCGGCGGTGGCCGGTTACGCGGCCTCGCAGACCAACTGCACCTGTGCCACCAACAAGATGACCATCTGCGGCCCGGACGGCCCGGGCGGCGCCTGCCAGTGCCGCGCGCTGGGCTCGGGCGTGGTGGTGGACTGTTCCACGCTGACCTCCAAGTGCCTGCTGCTCAAGGCCCGCATGAGCGCCCCGAAGAGCGGCCGCACGCTGGTGCGCCCCAGCGAGCAGGCGATCGTGGACAACGACGGCCTCTACGACCCCGAGTGCGACCCCCAGGGCCGCTTCAAGGCGCGCCAGTGTAACCAGACGTCCTCGGTGTGCTGGTGCGTGAACTCGGTGGGCGTGCGCCGCACCGACAAGGGCGACCCGAGCCTGCGCTGCGACGAGGTGGTGCGCACCCACCACATCCTCATCGACCTGCGCCACCGCCCCGCCGCGCGCGCCTTCAACCACTCCGACCTGGACGCCGAGCTGCGGCGGCTCTTCCGCGAGCGCTACCGCCTGCACCCCCGGTTCCTGGCGGCCGTGCACTACGAGGAGCCCACCATCCAGATCGAGCTGCGCCAGAACGCGTCGCAGAAGGCCCCCGGCGACGTGGACATCGCCGACGCCGCCTACTACTTCGAGAGGGACGTCAAGGGCGAGTCCTTGTTCCAGGGACGCCGCGGCCTGGATGTGCGGGTGCGCGGAGAGCCCCTGCACGTGGAGCGAACGCTCATCTACTACCTGGACGAGAAGCCCCCCGAGTTCTCCATGAAGCGCCTCACCGCCGGCCTCATCGCCGTCATCGCCGTGGTCGTGGTGGCCCTGGTGGCCGGGCTGGTCGTCCTGGTCATCACCAATCGTAAGAAGTCCGGGAAGTACAAGAAGGTGGAGATCAAAGAACTGGGGGAGTTAAGAAATGAACCGAGCTTGTAGGAACAGGGAAGAGGGGACGGGGGGCGGGAGGGAGTTTGGCAGGAGTGGGGAGAGGGAGACACACCAGATGTGGGTGACCCCCTCACCCCCTCCCCAGATCAAAGTGAGTCACTCATCATGATTCCTGACCTAAAAGAGGTGTTCTCCCTTAGGGCCTACCCTCTCCTACCATCTCCAGGCGCAACACATTTGCTGAGATCCTGGATTCAGGGTCTCTTCTTTCATCTTTCTTGAAGGAAGCATTTCTAAAAGCACCCTGCCTTCCTTTGGGCCCAACTAGAAATCTAAGTAGGGAAGGGACGGCCCAGTCTTAATGGGTCAGGAGCAAGTGTCTCAGACCCAGAGTCTTTTGCCAGTGGCTGGACTCCAATCCATCTCAAAGGCTCACAGGAGTTCGGCTGGAAAGCAGTGTGTCTGCTTCCTTGGGTTTAAATCATCAGAGGAGTTCTCCTCCATCTGACCTTCCCCAGAGAAGAGGACTTTGCTAATTGTACCTGTGTCGTGTCCTCATTCACCATGGTTTATATTACTGACCACGTCTGCTGGCCACCAGGAAAGAAGCTGGTTTCTGATGCCAGAACACATTTTTCCATGTCTTTTGTTGGAGGCCACACTGGCCCAGAAACATGTAATCATTCCTTGGCTTATCTTTAGTACAATTGAAATTAATAATGTTTTCTTTTTGTAAAAATGTGTGTGTGTGTGTGTGTGTATATGCTGTGTTTGATAACGCTGCTGTGATTTTTTTTAAAAAAACAACACAAAAAACACGAATTTAATAAAATACAAGAAAATCACAAACCCCCAAGATGGAGTATGGGGAAACTTCTTCCAGATTTATGCTACTTGGGTCTTCTCTGTCTTAATTTTCTTACGACTTGGGTTTTGTATTTTGAATTCTACCACTTCTTTGCAGGAACAACCACCTTCAAAGCTACCTTCACTGGTCAGTACAAATATTCTTCTTTGTAAATAAGATTATCATTGGGGGTGGAGTGGGATATGGTTCAGTGGTAGAACACTTGCCTGGCATGCACGAAGTCCTGGGTTCCATCAGCAGAGGGTGAGAGTTAAGGATGATTTAGAAACTTCCTTTAAAGTGGGAAAGTAGGCCAGATTCCTTGGCTATCTCTGATCATGGATTTCTTACAAGTGGTGATGAAGAGCACCAACTTGTTTTACAAGCAGCCTCTCCTTTGAATCCCAGCCCCATGGAAATAGGAGGTAACTTTCTCATTTAGCCCTTGGGCAAATTTCTTAATCTCAAAGTGTTGTGGATCTAGAAGAGGTTAAACAACTGTAGCTGGTCTGTAGTGGCCCTGTGATCTGGCTGTGCTTATATCAGATTGTTTCTCTAAACTTTTATTAGTAATACACCTTGAAGACTTATATTTCCTATTTGCTGTAAAAACCAGCCCCAGACAACTCTAGGCTTATTTTCTCCTTTTCACTCATTTATATTCATTTATGGGAAGCCAAGTGTGTACTGTAGGATAGCCTAGAAGGAAAAGAAGTTTCCGCATACCACAGAAGCAAGCAAGGGGAAAGGGGAGGGGGGAGTAGAAAGAAGGGAGTGGTTGGTATATCAGATATCATACAACTAATAAACTAGACCCAGAACTTCAGTTTATGCCCCAGAAATGGAATCGATGTTGATGTCATGTCCCTCCTTGCAACCCACTTCTACAGTCTATATTGACACACCCCATGCCTACAGTCCATGCTAACTACACCATGAGGATGAGGGGGAGACTCTGATATGGTCTTCTTGGCACTGTTTGGTTATAAAGCCTGGCGCTGGGCTATGGTGTTGAGACACTTCGGGTCTCATGAGATCTCAACATCTGCTGTTGGCCAGGCTGTAGAAGAACTGTCCTCAGTCCTCAAACATCCTCTCAGGCTAAAATGAGACTTCCTAAAAGGAGGGGGCTGATATGGGATGGTGCCTTAGAACCAGAAGTGCCAGAAGTTAGAGATAACAATGAGAATGAGACTCTTAACTTTGTGGTTTCCCCTTTCTGGGTCACCCAAGTGCCTTTAACAGGTGGGATCTTGGCAATCCTCTAACGCCTAAAGTTCCCATGGCACAAATGGGACTGGAAAACCTTGTTCCTAGAGTCACTTCAAACAATGATCACTTGACTAGAAAATAAACAGGTTTATGCCTAAGAGGGCAAACTGAGCTGAGGGGCTGCTCACCCAAGCCCTGTACACCATAAGAATATCACTTTTGTGCAATATTTAAGTTTCTGGGCTAATTCCTCACTGGGATTTCCTGCATTTCATAACACTCACCACGGGAAAAGTGCTTGCATGTATATGATCTACGAGATACTGGCTTACCAGAAATTAGAAACAATATTGACAAACCTGAGTTCAAATTTTGCTCCTTTTTGTGAGGGAGTCTTTTTTTTTTTTTTTTGGTGAGGGAGTCTTGTATCTCCCCTGTCTTCTCAACTATTAAATGAAACTACTACATCCTCTCTTGCTGTGGTTCCAATGGATGAGAGAGTTGATATAAGTGCTTACAACAATCTGGGTACTATATTTTTCTTCCTTATTATGACACATATAAGAAAACTGAGGTCAGAAGAGATTGATGAAACCCATGAACTCACATTCTCTATGTGCTATAAAGCCAGCGTTAGGATCTTGGTTTTAAGCTCCCTGGCCCAGGTTGCTCTCCAGACACGTAACAGGTAGAGATGACTTTCTTATCTGTATCCCCTGAGCAACTCATGCTTCTGCTTTGTCTTTGCTGAAGACAAGTCTTCCAGCCTGGCTACCCTCAGGGCTCACAGTCCACCTTCAAAATCCCACCTCTCTCCCAAATTTACCATTCCCTGTTTTGATTGAGCTCAGGCCTGGGGCTGAGCTTGGAAGGAATGTGAGACGCCTTTGCTGCTCAGCCAGCAGGTTGCAGCTTGTTTTCTGAGCCTCCAACGGGCTTGTGACTGCTCTCTCCTTCAGTGGAACATTTTGTAAATGAATCCCTCTTCCTTTCTTACCTATTTTGTAACCTTTAGAGCTGAAAAGAGGACCATTTAGGGTGCAACACCCCTATTTTATAGATGAAGAAACTGAAGTCCAAAGATGAGAAGGGATGTACCCAAGTCAGGCAGCTGGAGGTGAAATTACTAGAGTTCTGAAACGCTGACTCTGTTCACCTAGGGTCCATGTTGTGTGACTTGCTCGTCTCATGTATTTCATTTTTAAAAAATATTTTTATTATCTCTATGTAGTTGTACAAGGGAGTTGCCATTCAACAAACCAGCTTATGAATACAGTGCATCTTGATCACTGTCAACATTCTCACCCATCCCTCCCCACCCACTCCTTCCCTCATTTTTCTTAATTTTGTGGGATATGTATTGAATTAAAAAAATCATTTAACAAAGCAGTTTGGGAACACCATGCATTGTTTTAATTTTTTTCTCAATCATTTTTCTTAAGTTGTGGTTATTCCTTAGCTTTTAAAAATCACTAACCATGAAGAAATACTTTAGTTACATGTAAAATGGATGAGCTTTGATGCTACCTGACTTGTTTTCCTATTTATAAAAGAGGCATAACTTTATCTAACATGCTTGATTTTAAAGATCACGTGTAAGCTCTGAAAAGACTGATTATTCAATTAAGGTATCCTTCCCATTTGAGCTACAGCAAGTCACCCAAAGGACCTGGGAGGGGGTGGGGGAACTCACTAGTTGTGACACATGAACAATGCTTCTACTCCACTTGCTCATGAGAACACCTCTGTTCCTAGACCTCTGCTGTTAGAGAGGCAGGAGCAGACTTGGAAGCCACCTGCCTTCAGAGGCCTCCGTGGCCCACCTGGTTTGTATAACATAGTTGTGGTCAGCCAGGTGGTACACTGATTGCCAACTATGACCTGAGAATCAAATGTCTTTCTTTTTAAGCCACAGAGTTAGCCCTAAAATCCCAAGGCCTCCAAAATCTGAAATTTTTTGCATGTTTTCATAAAACCACAGTGGAAAATTCCACACCTGAACTCATGTGACTAGCCCCAGACAAAACACAAGTGTACTAAAAAAAATTGCATAAAATTACCTTTAAGCTGTGTATGGAAAACATAAGTTTAAACATTGTGTGTTTAAACTTGGGTCACCTACCCAATAATCTCATTGTGTACATACAGATATTTAAAATCTAAATTTGAAAAAAAGAAAAAGAAAAGTTGAAACATTTCTTATCCCAAACATTGTGAAGAAGAGATCCGCAGTCTGTATTTTATTACTGACTCTCTTTAAACAGTATTTTAGTTTGGTTGTTTCCTTTACTCCTTTATTCTAATTGGCATGTGTGACCATATGATTCCTGGAGGAGAAAATTCAGAGGTTAAGAAGTTAATTTTTTTTTTGCCCAGGTCACACATTTAGTAAGTGGCACAACTAGAATGAGAAGGAAGGTAAATTAGCCTTCTAATCCATGTCTTTAACCAACACACTGCATACCTCTTGTTTATAAAATTGCAAGCTACACACAGAAATGGAGAGACAAAGGGTGAACTCACTAGACGCTATGTTGAAAGCGAACTATACAACTTGTGGGTGTGGATGGGAGGGGAAAAACTGGGAGAGAGGGAAGAAATGGGTGACATTGTCAAAAAGTGTCTTCATTACCTGACTTATGTAACTCTAACTTCTCTGTATATCGCCTTTATAATAACAATATTTAAAAAATATTGCAAACCACAGTATACTAGTTTTCAGTGGCTACTTCAACAAGTTACCCTAAACTTAGTGGCTTAAACAATATGTATTTGTTATCTCACTGTGCCCTAGTTCAAAAGCTCAGCACAGGTCTCCCAGGGCTAAAAGCAAGTGTCATAGAATTCTGTCCCTTTCTGGAGGACCCAGGAGAAATTCTGTTTCCAACTTTCCCAGGTTGTTGGCAGAATTTAGGTCCTTTCAGTTATTGGACTACTTGGAAAAATAGTGGCCTACTTGTGTTCACCCATTCTTCTGTTCCTCAGTCTTCAGAGTCAGCAATTTCATCTCTGCCCTTCTTTCTTTGAAGATGTCCCCCTTGTAGGAACTCATGTGATTAGATGGGGCCCACCCAGATAATCCAGGTTGAGACGGATTGTCAAGATCTGTAACCTGAATCACATCTGTTAAATCCCTTCTGCCATTCAGGATAACATATTCATAGGGTTCTGGAATGAGAGCATATTGGCACCTTTGGTGCAAAAGGACATTTCCCTTACCCACCTTACTTTTTGGGGTTTGTCTATACCATCTTGATATACAATAACAGTGGATTTTGATTATTTTTCCACCTCTGAATAATGTCTTTTCTTCTCCCTCTCTAATCCCCTCAAACAGTTCCACAATTGCAAGAATGTTCTATGTATGTATATGTAGGTAGGTATTTAAGCATATGTTTATCTTTTTTGGTCTAGCATTCACATATAAGAGAAAAATGACCTTTTTCATGAACCTGGCTTATTTTACTTACCTTGATGCTCTCCAGTTCCATCCATTTACCTGCAAATGACATCATATTTTATGCTTTATGGTAGAACTAATACTTCCAAGTGTGGTGGTGGTGGTGGTGGTTGTGGTGGTGGTGGTGGTGGTAGCTGTGGTGGTGTGTGTGTGTATGTGTGTATGTCAAAGCATTGTGATGTTTTGTGAAGTGCATTCTCATATACTACTGACACTGTGTGGTACAGAAGATGGAAAGAGGTACTGAACTATGTTAGCCA